TTTTATCTATTGATTCTTGGCTAATTTTGTCCCATGACAGCTTTCCTGGTGAGAGAAGAGTTGAGGAAGATGGCTTGAGTAGTTCTCTTGAAGCACCAAGTTGTATATACCTGGTAGTTCATTCTCTTTTTCCTTTTAGGTCTGGTAGTAATTTGGAAGCTATTATTTTTCCATGGTTAGAGAATTTGGAGCATAATGACTGTGTTATCTTGATGTTTCTTAGACTAAAGATTATTTTTCTCTTGCATCCAATATAAAGGCCTATTGCAGTGCCAGTCACATAACTTATTAAAGATATCCTTTGCCCTCCCCTTTACCACGTTTCTTCCTTTTTCTTTGTTGCTTTACGTGCATATTGTTATGTATGATAGCATGTAAGAAGTGATGGTTTAAAGTGGGAATCGTGTTATCGGATTATTTGATGAAAACCCAGTCTGAATAGAAGCTGATTTTATTTCATTTATGCCTGAGAAACTAGGATACAAGGCTTTGTATAGGTAAATGTAATGCCTCTTGCAATTTGAGAATGATAACAGAATTCTCTTCCTAAATTATTCTGGCTCCCTGAGAACATTTTCCATTGGACAAGGTTCTGATTTTTAAATATTTCTGATACCAGGATATGAGGCATTTGAAGGACTCTGTCAAAATCAAGAAGCAGCAGTCTCCCACTGCCAGCGCTGAGGTCCAAAGCTCTCTGAAACAAGAGGTGTGAAACTTTAACCTGTTTTTTATCATTCTAGTCATATTTGGATACCACATTGGCTTGAATTTTATTTTGTGAGGTCTTCAATGACCCAAGATACCGCTCAAAAGTTACAAAGTATTGCTAATGTGATTCTTCTTTTTCTTCCTAAAACAGTTTTGTGCAGATTTCACTGCTCGAGAAAAGGTTGCAGTATCGATTTGAGGTTCGTCGTGCATTAGAAATAGCATTGGGTTATAGAACTTCCTCCCGTTATGATCCAGCGGTGCCGATATCAAAGGTAGCTCCTTTAGTTGTAAGGAAATAGAAGTTTATTCTTCATGTCTGCCTCTTGAAAGTTGACAGTGCTTTTCTGCAGCCTAGTATGGAGTTAGTAAAGGAAATTGCTGTATTGGAGTTGGAAGTTGTATATTTGGAACGGTACCTTCTCTCCTTGTATAGGAGAGCATTTGAGCAACAAGTGTCGTCTTTACCCTACTCTAAAAGGGATGAAAGGTTTAAAACACCAGTAGATAAACCAAAAACTAGATTTTCGGAAGTTTCCGGACCTGATAATGAATCCAAAGTTGAAAATTCAGCTATTCTCTCTGGTAACCATGAAAATTGGTGGGAGGAAGAGGAGCCTAATGGAACTGGAGAAGAGAAACTAATGGATTCCAGTGTTCATCCCCGTCAGTCTTCACTGTCACGAAGAGCAATATTTTTAGGTAGGACTTCTCCAGATGAGATTTTATCCAAAACTGAACGCTCCTGCCATTCACAGCCTCTGTCCGTGACGCAGGTAAATTACCTTCAGCTTGTAATCTTCTCAGAAAATTTGATCATCTTTTCTTGTTCTAACTTTTGCTTGGTTCTCTAAAGTATGCTCAGAATGCACCGAGTATAATCAGTCTGGCAGATCACCTTGGCACTCGCATTTCCGATCATGTTCCCAAGACACCGAACAAGCTTTCCGAGGATATGATCAAGTGCGTGCCTGATATATATTGCAAGCTTGCAGACCCACTTTTGGTCCAAAACAGCTTTTCATCTCCCAATTCACCAACGTCATCAGCCAATGCCTTTTCCCCACAGGATCAGCACCAGATGTGGAGTCCAGGGTTCAGAAATAATTCATCTTTCGATGTACGGTTAGATAACCCTTTCCACGTGGAAGGACTTAAAGAGTTTAGTGGACCATATAGCACAATGGTTGAAGTGCCATGGATTTTCAGATATAACCAGAAACTGGATGATGTGGAACTCCTGCTACAGAATTTCAGGTGGGTTGTTCTGACATACAATTGTCACAAGTAAAACTGTTTCTAATGATCTCAGGATCATATAAGAAACATTAGATATGTGAGCCTCTTACAGCTTTTGCTGTTTTTCTTTTTCAAAATTATTATGTTATAGGTCTTTCCTCTGTCAACTGGAAGAAGTCGATCCTAGGAAGCTGAAACACGAAGAGAAGCTAGCATTCTGGATAAACATACACAATTCATTGGTGATGCATGTAAGTGTTCTCATCAATGAAAAGACTACTGTTATAGCTTTGACCGCCAATGCAATGTGATAGATTATATTCAGTCTTTCTTTCTTCCATAATAGGCATTTCTGGCTTATTCCACAAAGCAAAGTGAAGAGACTTTTTCTACTGTTGAGGGTAAGGATAACCTATCTCATTGTCACCTCTCTTGAACTATGAAACGAGATTGGTTTTTGAAGATGTAAAAGGTATGCAGTCTGCGGACCACATCAGCAGACATCTGCAGCAGAAAAGGTGGACCAAAAGTCTGTAGTCTGCAAGAAGAAGACTGTTTGTTTTTTAACGTCTGCAGACTGCTAAAATAAACTGAAATATAAAATAAACTGATTTTTTAAACTTAATAGAGTTTTGCAATACTGAAATTTTAATAATTTTAGTTTTATAATATTGAAATTTAAATAATTCATATAACTACAATAATAAATTTTTTAAAATAAATCAATTCATATTTTAAAATAAATCAATCCATATTTTAAAATAAATCAATCAATATTTTAAAATAAATTTTTCCATATTTTAAAATAAATCAATCTATATTTTAAAATAAATCAATCCATATTTTAAAATAAATAAATCCATATTTTAAAATAAAATTTTCCATATTTTAAAATAAATCAATTCATATTTTAAAATAAATTTTTTTTCATATTTTAAATTAAATCAATCCATATTTTAAAATAAATCAATCCATATTTTAAAATAAATATTTTCATGTTTTAAAATAAATCAATCCATATTTTAAAATAAATCAATATATATTTTAAAATGGATTTAAATGATTTTAATTTTCCCGCAGACCTTTGAAGACATAAAACCATGTCTGCACTAAGAAGAGCTCGCGCAGACGTTTAAAGAGCATCTGTCTTCTAAAAAACAAACAGTCTGCGAAGCCCAATGTCTGCGCGTGGTCTGCGCGGCGCAGACATAAGAGATTTACATACCTTACACAGTAAAAAACAAACACCACCTTATACTCTTGAACACATACAGGGTGCATATAACATAGGAGGTCACACCATCAGTGCAGATAAAATACAGAGTTCCATTCTTGGATGTCGTATGTCTCGTCCAGGAAGGGTAGATCTCAAACCACGTCTGTCTGGTCATCAATTTCGATTCTTTAATTACTTAAGATTGTTATAGACCTTGTAGTGACAAGATGATATTTCATATGAGATGCATGAAGGCATCTAATTCTAGTTTTAATATTCACTATGTGCTTGATTTAAATCATGTTTTAAGGTGGTGCTTGATAAAACTTTCTCCTTTCTGTAGTGGCTTCGGTTATTACTTTCTTCAAGGGCAAAATTTAAACCAGGAGACAAAAAGCAGGCAATGCAATTGAACATCCAGAACCCCTTTTACACTTTGCACTCTGTTCAGGAAACCATTCGGATCCGGCGGTAATATATTTTTTTATCTGTGTTTTTGCTTTACTATTAGCAGTTAGCACCAGTCGAAAACATTTTAATTTCCATGCTACATTTGTTCAATTCTTTAGGTACGTGCCTATACGCCAAAGAGAGTATTACAAGAGCTGGAAACTGCAAAAGAAGAGAGTACATCCGGGCTACGTTCGGTGTCCGCAACAAAAAAATTCTGTTACCAAAGATCGTAGAGCCATTTGCAAAGGATTCGAGTTTGTGTCCGTCGGGTCTCATGGAAATGATCCAACAGTCATTGCCCGAATCACTTCGTTGCAGTATCAGAAAATGTCAGCAAGGGAAATCATTCAAGAGCATTGAATGGATTCCTCATAATTTTACCTTTAGGTACCTTATATCTAAAGAATTAGTAAGATGATATAGTATATGCATCAAGGTATGGTGCTTGAGCCTGATGATGCAATTTGCAGGCATTTTCATTTTGGAATATTTAACATCTTAACTTGTACAAAGAGTAAGTCTTGTCCTAACCAATATGCAGGATCTACCAAATGGTAAGTCTCTGAACCATCTGAACCAACTTTTCGCTCAAACTGGCCTCTCAAGTACTTGAATCCACCGGCGTCTGTACTGTTCCGAGGCAAAAACCAGGCTCCAGACGAGACCTTTTGTCCAACTTCCCAAATTCCAACCTTCTGACAAAGCCTACCTTTTGTCCATTGCAATACGTTAGCCACCTTTGCGTGATAACCTGAATCAGGGACAGGGTCCAGGACTATGCGGAGAACACCGCTGTCGATTGAACTGGTGAATTCTGTTGGGGCAAGGGGAAGTTCAATGAAGACCAAGGGATCGGCTTTTGTGTTTTCTTTCAAACAAAGCTTAACCTTTCTGGAATTTATGGGACAAATGATGGTGCCAGTGACCAGCGTTGCAGCACCAGGTAGACAGTGGGAAAATATTAATCCGTTTAATGCTCTCAATGGCGCTAAAAGCTCCATAATTTGACTTAATAGATTCCTCAAGTGAGAAGGAGTATTCACCCTGGTGTCTGTACTCTCTTCCATCTATGATTTCATTGATTTGATTCGTCTTTCCTAATAACAGCGTAGTGGAAACAAGGAAAAATGACAAAAGGACAAGGCAGTTACTTAAGATAAGAAGGAAGATTAAAGAGATAAGAATTGAGAAAATTTTGAAGCATGAAGAGTTCTAAATGGAATCAAACTGTTCAACCGAGTAATATTCAGATATATATAATTCAAAAACTTATAAAAAAAACAAATGCCAGTGTTATTTTGGATCCAAATTAAGGATATTACCCAGAAAAACATAGATCGGTTCCTACAGGCAGCTATAAATATCTAATATGAATCTAGTATGGTCTTTCTTCTACATAATTTCAAGGAGGATTATAGAAACAAATGGTTAAACTAATTTGGTCCTTGCATGTAGCTTGAGCACACCCCAGTTCCGTAGAGTTCTTCCAAGCCACTTGCTTATAAACTCCACACCTATGATTTGGTGCACAAGAATTGCTAGCATAATCGTAGTAAGTCTTCTCTTTCAACCATGTGTCCACCGCCGTGCGTGGCGGCACTGCTGCTCCACTCCCCCATAACTGGTTTGCTCCGTACTTGTGATCTTTCAGGTTCGCAAACTGACAACCCATTTTGTTCCTCTGATATCTGGCGAGGAGAGCTGTGGCATTGGGTAGTTGAGCACCCCACTTAAGTGGTCCGACCCCAACTGCGGCTCTTGCTTGATTGTGTGCTCCCAGGAATTCCCTGGCTGCGCTTGGCAACGTCGATGGAGCCATCGAACCAGGGCTCACCAACGCAGATACACCCTGGAATGTGTTATGGCTAATGACTAGAACTAGGACTGTCACTGCAACCAAGAGGATGGCCATTTCTGTACCGTATATAGTATGAAGTTAGTGCTGGTTATGTGTTATATAGAATGCCATTATTACATCACACGTTAAACGAATTAAGACCGTTTGTGATTTGAGGACGCTATCTGAATCTACTCGTGTCATATATATGATTTTTATAGGTGAAATATTTTAATAAAAATTCTATATATATAAAAAAATCGAGTTCGAGATATTATTTAAGCAATAGATTTGATACAGTCAAGTTTATCACGTACAATGAGGCCGAGAGGCGTGGGAAGTGGGAAATGGGGACAATGTGTTGGGGGAGAAATGGCATTAGGTCGGCTTTTGCCATTGGAAAAGGGTGGAGTTCCATGGGGATCAGAACCATTTATTTTTGTTTAATCAAAGTTTATTAACAACTAATCAGCTTGATTAATTGAAGAGTTTGGATTTCTTTTTATAAACTTTGCGATTTGCACGTGACCTTGTTGACATTGATCTGTGTCTCATTCTCACAGTTTGCTCCATGTGGTGCGCGTTTAATGATTCGTTAACTGGATGGCTTTTTATCATCTATTTGTTTGTTTAATTGTGATTACTTGGTTTTTTACTGCACCTTGTAATCTGATCCCGAGATTAGGTAATCTCATGTTATCGTATAATTTTACGGTACAACCTAAAATTTAAGATTAAAATACGGTAGAAATCAGATTCGATTAAAAATATTATTATAAAACATAATATTTTAAATTCAACGTAATTTAACATTTTCAATTAACAATTGAAAATGTTAATTTTTTTTGTAATATTTTAGGTTACATCCAACCTAAAATATTATGCTTTTGATAACATTTTCGATCACGCATAATTTCTATATATTTTATCTTTAAATTAATCTATCGGTTTTTATACTTTCGTCACTTTTTTATCATATCCTTTTTGGATTCAATTCATTTAAATACTTTATGTCACATAATGGTAGAAGATGTGTAGACATCAATTTTTTTTATTTATTATTTATTTATTATTATTATTATTATTATTAAAATATTATTTACATTACATGCCCAAAACCAGACCGACCAGTTACAAAATACACCCAGATTGGCCCAAATGATAACCCTAAACATATTAGGATTTCATCTTCTTCTCCAGCCGCCATCTCCTTTCCACCGTCAGATCAAGACAGATCCAACGGCCTAAATGAGTCCAGCATGAAACCCTAGGGACTATGGCCGTCGTTCATTAGCCAGATGCTGCCATCGCCTCGACCCTTGCTGCCACACTGCCACGACGCCAACCGAAGGCTACATAGATCCCAACACCAGCCGCCCACGTCGCAAGATATAGGGTGAGTCACCACAATAGTTGGCGACTCACCGAAAACCTCCATATTACCCAGTCCGAAGGAGGCTCGGTGGTGTCTATAAAAGCCATCGAACCTGCAAAACGAAAAGAAAAACGGAGAGCAACAAGGAAACACAACAACCAAATACCAACAAATATAAAAAAATAGAGAGAGCTTACCGACGAAATCACACGGTGACCAGAGATTCCACGCACCTTCACGAGCCACCATAGAAACCGAAATACCGAAGGTACTTCCTTATATCTTCGAGAATCCAAGGCTTTTTAGGGAAAACGGGGGTCGAGATAGGTCTTAGATCATTCGGATCTATCTTTTGAGGAATTTTGGAATTTTTCGGTCGCCGGTGGCCGACGATGGAGTTGGCGGCGGCAGACGATTGTCGGTCGGCGACATGATTCCCTCCGGTGAGGGAATTATAGAGAGAGGCGAGAGAATTTTTTTTTCTCTCTTAGAGAGATAATGAAAAGAGAAGAAATGAGAAATAAGGCCTTAAGGTCGGTTATAAGGGGGTATAAATACCCTCACCAAAACGAAGTAGTTTTGGTGAGGGAACCCTGTGTAATTTTGCGCATGTTTAATTATTCCCGCAGCCACTGTAACTTTAAAAACTTGCAATTTGATCTTCAAAGCATGTTTTTATTTATTATAATTTGGTATTCGAATTTTAGTTTATTATAATTTAATCATTAACATAAATATATATATTTTAGGTAAAATAACATATTTAGACCTTTAATTTTAATAATTAATATTTTAATCCCGAAAGCATGTTTTAATTTTTTACATTTTTCTTAAAATTCTCAAATATAAGAAGTTTTCTTAAAATTCTCAAATAGCAATCATTCTTTATAATTTATATTTTTTACATTATTTACATTCATTATTTCTCATTATTTATATTTATTTCATAAATTTATTATATTTTTTTTGGAAATATATCCGATTTAAATTTACAGGTGTCACAATGTTAATAGTATGATTATTCCTAAATTTAATCATGAGATAAATTTAGAGCGGCTCATATGTTTGGAAGAAATCAACGAGTGTGAAGATGAAGTAGAATGTGATGTTCCTACCGAAATGTTAAGACTGGTAGAAAAAGAAGATAAACAAATTTTACCTCACAAAGAAGAGATTGAGACTATAAATTTGGGAACCAATGAAGAAATGAAGAAGTGAAAATTGGTGCTACTTTGTCAGCCCAGATAAAACAAGAATTGATAAATCTCCTCCAAGAGTTCAAAGATATTTTTGCCTAGTCTTATCAAGATATGCTTGGTTTGAGTACAAATATAGTGGTGCATAAACTTTCGATCAGTCCAGAATATAAACCTGTTCAGCAAAAGCTCAGACGAATGAGGCCAGAAATGTTGTTGAAGATTAAAGAGGAAATGATGAAGCAGATAAATGCAAGTTTTCTACAAGCAGCCAAATATCCAGAATGGGTAGCCAACATAGTTCCAGTACCAAAGAAGAATGGGAAAGTTCGAATGTGTGTGGATTATAGAGATCTTAACAAAGCTAGTCTGAAAATAGCTTTTTATTACCTCATATAGACACATTGGTGGACAATACTACAAGACATGCATGTTTTTCATTCATGGATGGCTTTTCAGGGTATAATCAGATAAAAATGAATCCTGAGGACATGGAAAAAACAACATTTGTAACCATGTGGGGCACATTTTATTACAAAGTAATGCCATTTGGATTGAAAAATATAGGGGCAACATATCAGAGAGAAATGGTAACTCTATTCCACGACATGATGCATAAAGAGATTGAAGTATATGTGGATGACATGATTGCCAAGTCCCGAACCGAAGAAGAACAAATTCAAAATTTAGGAAAGTTTTTCCAGAGATTGAGAAAGTATCAATTAAAGCTTAACCCCGCTAAATGCACTTTTGGGGTAACGTCATGGAAGCTTTTGGGATTTGTAGGTAGTCAAAAAGAAATCGAGATTGATCCAAATAAAGTAAAAGCAATTCAAGATCTTCCACCACCTAACACAAAAAAAGAAGTTCAAGGCTTTTTGGGGAGATTAAATTATATATCTCTATTCATTTCTCAATTAAATGACAAATGTGATCCAGTGTTCAAGTTACTTCGAAAGAACAATCTTGAAGTCTGAAATGATGAATGTCAAGAAACTTTGGATATTATTAAGAAATATTTATTCAATGCCCCCATTTTAGTATCACCAGTGCCTGATAGACCGTTAATTCTCTACTTAACAGTATTTGAAAATTTGATAGGATGTGTACTGGGACAACATGATGAGTCTGGAAAAAAAGAAAAAGCCATTTATTATCTGAGTAAGAAGTTTACTGATTGTGAAATTCGATACCCACCAATACAAAAATTATGTTGTGCCTTGGTGTAGGCTACTCGAAGACTCAGACAATATAAGTTATATCATACTACTTGGCTGATATCTAGACTTGATCCTTTAAAGTTTTTAATGGAATCACCAGCTTTGATAGGCAAAATGGCAGATGTTATTATCCGAGTTTGATATCGTATATGTCAACCAAAAAGCAATAAAAGGAAGTGTCATAACTGATTTTTTGGCTAGTCGTGTATCAGATGATTATCAGTCTTTGAGTTTTAATTTTCCAGATGAAGATTTGTTGTGCATATCCATGAATGAAGAAGTCAGAACAAATGATGAATCTTGGAAGCTTTATTTTGATGGAGCATCCAACGCCTTGGGACGAGGAATTGGGGCAGTGTTAATTTCTCCATAAAATATCTATTATCCTTTTACAAGCAGGCTGGAGTTCTTTTGCACCAATAACATGGCTGAATATGAAGATTGTGTCATGGGATTAAAGGCAGCCATAGAAAGAAAAATTAAATTTCTCAAGATATATGGAGATTCATCGTTAGTGGTATATCAATTACGAGGAGAATGGGAAACGAAAGATCCCAAATTGTTGGAATATCAAGATTTTACCCTCGAATTAGTGAAAGAATTTGAAAGTGTCACCTTCAATTATCTCCCTCGAGAGGAAAATCAAATGACAGATGCTTTGGCTACATTAGCTACTATGTTTCAGGAAAATAAAAAGTTGATATGATGCCGATCAAAATGCAAGTATATAAAATTCCTGCACATTGCTACAGTGTAGAAGAAGAAGAAAATGACAAGCCATGGTATTATGATATCTTGCAATATATCAAGTATCAAAGTTATCCACAAAATGCATCTGAGATTGATAAAAGAACATTGAGAAGAATGGCTGCTGGATACTTTCTTGATGGTGAGAGTTTGTATAGAAGAAGCAATGATCAAATGCTATTGAGATGTGTAAATACTAGCGAAGCCAGAAGCATCATTGAGGAAATACATAGTGGGATATGTGGAACACATGCAAATGGTCTTTCCATGGCTAGAAAAATAATGAGATATGGGTATTATTGGGCTACCATGCATACATATTGTATTGATTATGCAAGAAAATGTCATAAATGTCAGGTATATGCGAATAAGATTCATGCACCTCCATCGCCTTTACAAGTAATGACAGTACATTGGCCATTTTCTATGTGGGGAATAGACGCCATTGGGGCAATCACACCAAAAACATCAAATGGACATTGTTTCATCCTAGTGGCAATCGACTATTTTACCAAGTGGGTTGAAACTGCTTCATAT